ACGAGCCCGGCTGTGCCCGGGGACGAGGCCCTGTGCCTGGGGTGGATGCAGCCCCTGCCTGCCTGCCTGCACTTCTTGTGTCTATAGGTGGCAGCCGGCCGGAGCCTCGGGCCGTGCCCGGGCTGGGCACCAGTGTTTACAGATCCTCGAGTTGTGCCTTAATGGACTCGGCAGCCTCAGGGGGAGCTGCCAGCCGGGGCTTCCCAAGGAAACCAGGAGAGGGGACAATGCCAGCTCCTGGTTTGGGGGACCAGCCCTGCTGGCCCAGGCTCTCCTGTGCCCTGGGAGCTGCTGCCTTCTCTCCCGACGTCCTGAATGTGTCCTGGAGCTCCTGGCATCACGGGGCAGGAAGAGCACGGCTCCGTGGGGACCTGCCCTGGCTCTGTGGGGACATCACACTGGGGGATGTCACCCAGGTCCAAGCTGGGCTTGGCCTCCCCACGGGGCCTTTATCTCTGGAGTTATTCCTTAAGGGTTCAAAAGGGAATGCCCTGGGAGCCGTTTTACCGCAGCCATTTATTTATGATCCTCATGTGACCATTTTGAGCCACTTGCTGTAAAACCAGGCCTCCCATTTTTGATATAATTTAGGTTCAAGGCTTTTATACCAATAAAGACTGAAGGAAGAGGTGTCATGGTGTGTGTGTGGGCAGGAGGGCACAGCGGGGTGGCAGCAGGCAGGGAGCTGTGCAGGGATCATGGAATTGGGAAAGGGTGGAGCTGAACTCCCCACTCCAGTGCCAGAGCCACAGGGGACAAACTGCAGCACGTTTTGCCAGGCAGGCAGAGCCAGGCTGCCCCAGGATGCTGCAGGGAGTCCCCTCATGCTCAGCACCATCCTGGCTGTCCTGGCTTTGGGCACAGGCTCCCAGGGTGGCACCCACTGCAGCTGAGGACATCCACACCATGCACTGCTGCTGCAGGGGGACAGGTAGAGGGGATCCCCACTTCATGTGCCACCAGCCCTAAGACGCATAAAACCATCCCAAAAAAATGGTAACAAAATAATTTTATTCTGCTTTATCAAAAGAA